ATATATTTATATATTTATAATATAGAAAAATGGTATTTTTTAAATATAAAAATAAAGATATTATATCACACTAGTGAGAGAGAGAGAGAGAGAGAGAGAGAGAGAATGGGTGATAATATATTTAAAAGTTTTTTAAATTCTCGGAGCTAATAGCCGATCGAAAAATTTACCAAAGCGGATCGTAATATACGATATCGTTATCAAGGACAATCGCGGAAACTGATGTCACCAGTGGTTATACCGTTCTCTCTGATGCAGAAGGGCATCGAGAAGGAAAAAGGGTGAGAGGACGTAACGAGTTTTCGATCGCCGCTTCCGGTTACATAGTGATCATCGCGCGTTCGGTGTCTGCTGTCGACGACGACGAGGACGAGAGGGAAAAGTTAAAACGAATCTCTCCTAATTGCCGTCCCCTTGTTCACTCTCTCGGGTCCGGCGTTGTTTGTCACCGACGATCCTCCTCTCACTTTCCCTCCGATGTCGATGTCGAGAGTGAAAGATTGAGCGGACGGGTTCGCAGCGAAACGATAAGGACGCTGATAGAGTTCCATAAAGAAAAGAAGAGAGATCGAAAAAAGTCGAGGGACAGAATGCGAGGGATTGAAAGATAAAGATGGAAGATTTCGAGAGAGACAGCGAATCGAAGAGGACGGAGCGAAAGGGAAACGAGGGAGAAAGACAAAGAGGGATGAGAAAAAGGACAGTCCATATTAAAGAACAGAAGATCGAAGCGAGACAAACGAAATTAAAGGGGGGACAGGGCTAAGGGAGCGAGCGAGAGAGGACCTCGCCTTTGTCTCGCCGTGAAGAGTCCGCTTCGCGGTGAAGGAGTGCTTCTTCTCCACAGCTCCACGGCTTCTTCTCTTCGTGCTTCGTCGTGCTCTTTCAAGCTCCCTCGGCTTCTTTTCTCCTCTAGACCAGATCTGGCCGTATAGCCTTCGAGGAAAGACGACAAGAGGACGGAGGACGCCTGTGCGGAACCCTAGTCCTCTCCCTAGTTGTCGGCCAACGCCGGAAATTGACACCCGAGCTCCCCCGGTTTTCTGTCTGACCGAATTTCTTTTCATTTACACATCTGTCTCATTCCGCATTTCGATTTGCAAAGAGACTTTCTTACGCGAATTATTTATAGCAAACTATACTTTACCTTATTTAACGATAAAGAGAGTATATATTCTGTGATAAGATTTATTAACGTGCTCCTATATTTTTATTTAGTTAAGTATGTGTGTACTTGTAATAAGAATTATCAAAATCAAATAATAATAAAATTACATTCAATAATAAAAAAACACATTTATATTTTTCTAAATAATAATTACGTAATAAAAATTTATTATTCTGTATTAATAAAACGGATTTTTCAGTGCAGACCCGGCTAATGCCTATTAATACGCATCTATTATCGCTTGCGTATATTCAATTGATTTATATCCGAGCATATATTATTTGTCACCGACGTCTGTTTCTCTCTCTCTCTCTCTCTCTCTTTCTTTTAATGTAATAAATTGCTTATTTCTATCGATGATATTAAAAAACAAGAAGAATTCTTATTTTACACGATAATTCTTTTAAAAAATTATCACATTATTGTGACTAACGTACATAGCAGTACATATTTATAGACATGCTATAAAAATTCTTTTTTATAGAAATTATACAATTTTTTCCTATAATAATTTAGATACATTACCTAAATTAAATATTTGCAAGCCAATTTAGATAGCAACGATTTATGACAATTTGCCGAAAACAGGCTATAAATATATATATATGTATGTATATATGTATAAATGTATATAGACTGAACTTTTGGCAAATTAATATAATATTCGCGCGATAAATTATATATAATATATTGTTTTCATTACGCAATGGATACTTAATGTCGCAATATGAGCATTGCGTGCGGCGAGACGCAAAAAAAAATCAATCGTGGGAATCCACATTTCTCTCCTACGCGAAACAATCGTGTGACGTGGCGCCGCGAGCACATGTCGACGGCCCTGACGTGAGCGGCGGACGCGACCGAGCGCGGCCGAGTAGTCCCGATCTCGGCGGAGGCCCCGTCGTACCCATGTGTTGCGGTTCGTCGTGAGTGCTTTGTGACAAGGGAGGCGCGATTGTCTCTCTGTGCGTCTCTTTTTCGTCCGTCTCGCGCGTGTCTCGCGAAGATCCGCGGCCTCCGCGCGCGATTCTCACGTCGAGGCGAGAGGAGACGTTGTGACGCAAAACCGAAACCGGGGGCGACTCGATTCGAGACGCGGCGTCCGCTCCATCGCGCGGACGGCACCGTAGACGAAAACCACCCGGGTGTGTCCCGCTCTCGCGTGAGAGGAGAACGACCGACCGAACGAGCGAACGACGAAACCAAGGAAAGTGCATACGTGTGTATGTGTGTGTGTGTATGTGTTGAGAGAAAAAGTGTGCGTTGTGCGTGCCTCTCCTTCGCGACGACGGCGTCAATGATGACGACAACGACGACAAGTAGGAAGGAGTAGCTCTCGCTCCGTTCGCGCGACTTTGCTTTGGCTGTTCGGCGGCCGTGTTTCGCGTACACTTCAGCATCGTTTTTCGCGTGTGAGTGCTCCGAGGTGTCGAAAGAAACGAGGAGAAGTGGCGGGTTGGTAGCAGTGTCGGTTCTACAAAGAGCGACGGAAAGAGAAGGATATAAAGAGAGAGAGAGAGAGAGAGAGATAGCGCAGCCCGGGCGACCCGTCCGTGGGATCGAGAGAGCGAACGCAACACGTAGAAAGCGCGCCGTAGAGACGGAGATAGAAGGTGAGATAGAGAGAGAGAAGGAGATAAAAAGTGTTGATCGTAGGTGCACTCGCCGGGTTCTAGAAACGTGGTACAGCCGTATTTGTGTGGTACGTGTTTGTTTATGTGTGGCGCGACATTCGTGGATCGGCCGGAACGGGCGAACTTCAGGGCGTACTCGGGTGAGCCGCGGAAAAATATCGTCGCTTCACGCGCGCAGATTCTTTCGTTTTCATTTCGAATCGTATCGTGTCCTCGCGAGTGCTTCTTGTGTGCGTCCGCTTTATATGCGCGTGTATATGTGTTTGCCGGGCGTAACGGCGGCGGAGAAGTAGTGTGCGTGATATATATATACACAAAATACACACACACGGCGGAGGAGAGGGAGCACCGAGCGAGCGAGAGAGAAGGTTAGACGAAGAGTGGCGCCACGGGAGAGAAAGGAGAGAGATAGGAGATCGTCGCGCGACGAGTAAACGGCAGAAAAAAAAATCGGATTCATGGTGTAAATAACGACGGGCTGCGCGTTGTTACTTCGCGGTCGCGTTCGATCGGGGTGTATTCGTCGCGGCGCGAGAACAACGAGTCCGGGACGAGTTCCTTTGCGGCTGCAGTGTGTGTGTGTGTGTGAGTGTGTGTATACGTGCGTGAGAACAGGGTCGCGAGGTGAAGCTCGCAGCCAGCGGCAGCAGCGGCGACGGACGGTTGGATTATAAGCGACGAAAGGAAATACGCGTGTCGGAAGGATTATACTTATATATATAAATATACACATAATATATATATGTATACATATATACATATATAGTGTATATACATCGAGGGAAGCATACTGGGCGAAGCCCTGCGAGGGGAAGGGAGAAACTCCCCGCCGATCACCGCGTTCGTGTGGATCTGTATGTGTATACATCTGCTCCCACCGACACATTGTAGTAAGTGACTCCTCTTTTTGTTCAATTTAAAAGTCGCTGAAAAGCTACATTAAACGTAATCTAGAGATTCCACGACATACTTCGAAATCGATTCTTCCACGGTAAATGTTTTATTGGTCGCCATCTTTGTTTACACCATCTTAATTTATAATTTTGAAGTTTATATACTGTGTATCACCCAGTCATTCATACGTTGTATTAAAATTCATTTATGTAAAAGTGACGTGGAATAATTAATAGGAATTTTTTGGTATATTTTTCATGTACGAATATTCATTTAAAAAAAGACTGCGTTTTCAATCGTTTATAATCTTCTCATTTATTAACTCTTAAATTTGTAGCTTTTCAGCAATCTATGTACACTTATATGTGTGAGTATATCTTGAAAAAGAGAACAGATATTGATATTTTGTATATAATACACCGAAATTTGAGACATTTTTTAGAGTTTTATAGCTAAATCTTGATGTATTTATTCCCATATAAGTCTTGAAGTTGATAATAGTGTGTACTTATCAAACCTTAATATAATATTCTGTTTTGAAAAATACATTATATATATTTAACATTTGATTAATAACCGTGATGAGATTTTATCATCATCTTATATAATCACCACATTAATATATATAGAAATAAATTTCTAAGGATTACTAAATAAAAAAAATTTTTTTGATTTGTACTCTCAATATACATACACCTGCAGAGATATTGGGATATATTGAAAGCTATACATATTTTTCCACAGAAAAAACAATACATTATTGTTTGAATATATTATTTATTGATTTGTAATTTCTATATTTACATTATAATTTGGATATATATTTATATAAAAATATATCTTTCCCTTTAAAGAAATTTCCGTGAATATATATGATTTTAATTGCAATCTATACACATACATGTACATACACGTTCAGAGCTATAATTATCTCAAGTGTGATTTAATCGCATTGATTTGTCGATGAATCGACTGGAAAACGAGCGAGCTAGCGAGCTAGCGAGCGTTCGTGATAGATGAAAACCCGTTTACATGTATTGCCTAAAAATTGCTGTTAACCATTGCGGGCTCTCGGATTCCTGTCGGATAACAGTTTGCGTTGCGCGAGCGCAGCTCTCGTGAAAAGGTTATTTCAACAAACTCGATTCTCTCCGCGAAGTCCTGGTATTGCGTGAGAGTGTGGTCTACTACGTGTAGCCACATCGATACGCGTGTACGTGTGTGCGGACGACCACCGGCCGCATGTGTCTCTCGCGGGCAAACGCGAACACGATAATCACTCCTGCCGCAGGCACGCATCCATACACTCACACACGCACGCACGCACGCGTAGATGTGCATACACACTCGGATCTAACATGCGTGTATATATATTTCGTATATTCAAACGTAGAAAGGGATCATCGCAGGAGTTTCGCGTATTCGAAACCAATAGAATCGAGACGTGAGAATATGAAGAAACGAAGACTAAACGTGCAAATATACGATGATCGAAATATATTCGCGATATCTAATCGAGGGACACGAATGATTTTTTCTAATATTACCTCGTATGTTGTTTGATTTTCTCTATTGCAAAATTAAAGTAGTCGGCATTTCACCTTTGATATCGATGCTTGACGATAACTCGAATGGAAAACGCACGGAATAATCGAGTACAAATTTTTCTAATAAAAAGTGATTCGCACAATGACGAAATAACGACGGATAATCGGCGTGTTCGGCGTTAACAGTGATCCATCAGCGTGAATGTTCATCCGCCGCGCGACGCGATTGCATTCGAGCACGCACTCACACGCGTATACGCATGCACATATGCATATATACGACGCACGAGTCTCGCTCGAGGCGACGACGAGAATTCATTCAAGGCGTAGCTTGCATTGCACTCGCTCGCTCGCTCGCACGCGCTCGCACGCGCTCGCACTCGTGTCGCGAGCGAAACACGGCGCGTAGGCAGGTTACTCACGCGTGTCGCCGTCCGGTTGCGTGGGAGCGGTTACTTCGCGCATGCAATCCTCGCGTCAAATATCGCGTCGGACATCGAGAATGGAAGATGCTCTTCCTTGAATAAACTTCTGTAGTAATATAAACTTCACTCTCTCTTGAAAGAGAAGCAAAACTCGCGTGCCCATATATTCTCCATTTTCTTTTATATCAAGGAGTGCATTCTTACTCTGTATATCTCTTTGTGTATATAAGAGATAAAATTATGTACACATTGGGTGAGAGAGAAAGCATAAAACGAACAAGTATTCAATTTAATTTTGAAATTAAAAATCCAAGCAATTTATCAGTTAGGAAAGTTTATTCGTTTCCGAGAGAGATTTATTATAATATTTTTAAGCAATAAATTTCTATGTCATTATTCTTAGAATACTAATCTTAAAGAGCAAAGTTCAGATAAATTCATAAAAGATAAAATATTCATGTTGTCGATACTTTGTTTCTAAAAGTCGGAAAACAATTTTTTATCTTGATGATTACATAAATGATTACCTCATAATTTATATTTTCGCGTGAGATATTTCTCGAATATATTCGAAAAATTATATGCCTCAGTAATTACTAAATTAGTAATCCGTCTCTATTAGTTTCCATCAACCTGTCGGAATTCGAAACAAGGGATAATGCCGGTAGATATATTGGTTCGATATCATCAAAAATACATGATTATATAATCTGCTGTAACTCATTTAAAAAATAAACGCGCGCGCGCGATACGCAGGTATTGAGATTCACGCACGTCGTAACGCACTAACGTCGTATCGGCAAGCGAGAGACCTTTTTTCCTTTTTAACACAGAGGCGGCATTCACGCGCGATGCGTCAATCTGATACGCGCGCAATGAGATACGCGCCTGGGATATATATTGTGCGTACGCGGCGCGTAATATTCCGCCTCGGCTTCTCTTCACGAGCCGACCGGTCGCTTATAAACGCGAGCCGAATTGCCGGCGGAGAGAATTTCCGAGGAATATTAAAACATTCCTGCCGCGATTAACAGTATTAACTTCGCAAAAGCAACGTTTACTTTGTTACTCTTACACACTTTAAATGCCATTCGTTACTCTTTCACTGCTTGTAATCCATGTATCTCGCCATGTGTGCTGTACATTTCGGTTTACTAAATTTAACAATGCGAGAGGAGGAAACTCCATTCTCTATAAATCACAATATGTGCACAGAATTCCTTTCGTCACGATTATTTTCATATTATTATTTTTAATACTCGTTGAAAATATTCGGATATCCGAGAATATCTCTGAATTTTATCTGGATATATTACTTGAATATTTTGGACATTATCCAAGTAATACTTAGACAATACCTGCGAAATCGTGTAAGTATTCGAGTTCTGACTACAAAGACAACCGCTAACAATGCTATGTGTTATTCATTTTTTACACACACACACACACAATACATAAATCAATCTTAAGTTTTTAAAAAGTTACAATATACTTCGAACTCCGTGAGAAATATTTTTCTTTCTATTTACATTCACGATGCGCGATATGTGTGAGTTTCGATGTTTAACTAAAAGTATAATATTCCGTATGCGTATACAAGAAATTCTTAACGCTGGGAAAAATCTGCTGCCCCCAGAGAGAGAGAGAGAGGGAGAGAGAAAAGTACAACGACCGCACACGAGGGTCACGTGTGTACAATTTAAACCTGCGACTGCCGGCGCTATCGATTAATGTAGCCGCTAATGCTACTATACGCAGCAGCTATTAATGCACGACGACCGACCATGCGTTCGGCACAACGTTATTATACGTTTTATATGAACGATTTTATAGACTATTTATCGCGTAATTGCGAACGGAATGTATGACGCGGCACGAAAATCGAAAATATAATATAACTACGGCGCGCTGAAATCGACTGCATAAAAATAATCCCACATGGATAATATATATAAACCGCAATATTACGTTTTATTATAGATGGCTGTCCCTTTGTTGGATATTTCTGTACGCGATAGAATACACGGATTAAGATTGGCAGTAGGATTGACTTAAACTAACATTTGCCAGAAGAGAAAATTACATGAATCTATTTTCTGATTATAATGTTAATTGATGTTATAGGTAGAGTGCTCTTCTTCATAAATAATTGCAAGATTAATTAATAATTAAATGACTAATGCGCGTATTACTTTGTGATTTGAAAATAGAACGAATATAAACTTCTTGAAATATATACGAGAGAGAGAGAGAATTCCCAAAATATTTTCAGTTTGAAATAGTTAAAATTCGCGGTTTTTCTAATATAACAATGTTTCAATTGTGATGTATTTTAACAATAACCACTTTGGATTTAACTAAGAATTATCGGATAAATATTTTTTTTTTTTTTTTTTTTTTTTTTTTTTGTAATCCAGATATAGCTCAAAAGTCAAGAGATAACGTTTTAAATTGCTTGTTCTTTTTATATTGCGGATAGATTTATCCCAAATTAGCGTCGCTGAAAGAGAAAGAAAGAAAGAGAGAGACATTAATTATTTTACTTTAAGATATTGTTATCAACCGCTAATAGTTTTACGTAATCAACGAGTGCGCGTTCGCCGTAAAGTCGAGAACAAGTTTCGATTCGCCAGGCCACGCTAATCTTCCAGATTATCGGACATGCTCACGGTAATTAAGTATGTATTATGGTTACATGGTATGGTACATATACATATATACGTGCACAATATATTAATTCAGTGTATACACGTATCCACGAGAGCGTATACGACTGCTGTTAATGCTGGCATAATGAAACGCATCGTTGCACTGTTGGTTGCGCTGCGTTCCTTCGCGTTATGTCCCCGTTGATTTACGACCTGTCCATTGAGAATCTGAGAATTTCCAGGCACGAAGCATGATTTCGTGTATTTAGTCACTTCGCGTAGAAACGTACGATATACAGCCCGCGTATAACGTGTACATGGGCTTACACTAATATAGGGTGATGGTTATCAATTTGCGCAATTGCTTCATGCACAA